TTATTTATTGTATGTTAATACCCAACATATCTAGGCAATTAACCCTTATTACAATTTACTCAGAAACTTTTCTTTCGGAAAATTACAGCGGCTTAAAGTTTGTTTACATCTCAAATAAATTTATAATTGAATATCTACTATATATAATAGCTATACCGACTTTCTGGTTACATATAAAGTCAGTTTCCAAATATTCTTAGGTTAAATCAAATGTATTAGAACATAACAGTGAATTGATACTGTGAAAAAAAAAAAAAAATCAGTGAGGCCATCTTCGTTGATTTCGGAGCAGTGATTCCCATACCTAAAAATTATACATTTATATATATCTACACATAAAGACGCACACACACATAGATTATATATATACATATATATATATATATATATATATATATATATATATATATATATATGTGTGTGTGTGTGTGTGTGTGTGTGTGTGTGTGTGTGTGTGTGTGTGTATGTGTGTGAGTTTATATATGTATATGTTCTGGAATATGACAAAAATAACTATATCCTATAACAGGGCACTACCTTGCTTGGGTAGTGTTTGAGGAACGTAAAAGGCCTGTCTTCTGTTATATTCCCAGGTCATCTTTGGGCAAGGTGTAGCCTTGTCCAACTCCCTCTGGCTAGGGATACGGTGAAGCTGCCGGCTGCAGGGAAGTGGATGTCTGCAGGAAACACTTTCAGTCCTACTGTGTATCTGGTTCCTGATGACACAGCGTCTGGCGTGTGTTCAGTCCTCCTGTTCAATCATCAGAAGTAAATCTCTTCTGCTTTAGTTAGCTGGAGACTGCGAGCAGAGAAGAAGCCTGGGGGATTTCTCTCTGCTTGATTCTCTCCCGACATCCCTTTCGCCAATGATCCTTTGTAATGAAATGGATAGATATAACATCCAAATCCTGGGAATCTGTGAAACTGGAATGAATATGGAAGTTTTAAAACTGAGGAAAACAAGACCGTATTATTCTCAGGTAACGACGAATAACTAACAACATTAGAAAATTGATATTATCCATGTTACTCTTATGGTAATGATTGTAAAACAAGATTGCAAATGGCAAAGAAATACCAACTCTTTACTTACCATTTTCAACTCTATTTAATTTTCACAGAGGCAGTGATAATTCTGCGTTAGTTTAAAGAACTAATCATACCCATTAATATAGTTATGATAACAAAATGACGCAAAATTACTTCTCTCTGACTGATAATTAGTTGTGTGTGTGTTTATATATATATGTGTGTGTGTGTGTGTGTGTGTGTGTGTGTGTGTGTGTGTGTGTGTGTGTGTGTGTGTGTGTGTGTGTGTGTGCGCGTGTGTGTGTGTGCTTATATATGTATGTGTGTGTGTGTGCTTATATATATACGTGTGTGTGTGTGTGTGCTTATATATATACGTGTGTGTGTGTGTGCTTATATATATGTGTGTGTGTGTGTTTGTGTGTATTTACACATACACACACACACACATACATATATATACATACACGCATATGTGTATACACACACACATACACACATATGTTTGTGTGCAATAATAACAATTATAATACTAGTAATCATAATGACGATAATGGTAATGATGGAAATAGTAATGATAATAGTAATAATAATGATGATCATAATGATAATGAAACAACAACAATAATAATAACAATGATAATGAGAATAGTCATTGTCTTTTTACAGTTGGAGGCTAAACAGCGACCGTAACCCCATCTATTGAGCTGAACCAAGAGCACCAAGGAGGAAGTATACAAAGCTTGAGCATGTCACATTACCTACCTTTATTAAGCTGAAATGATTCTTTTGTCATATGACACTTAAACGTCATTACGGAATTTGTTTATATTTATTTGTTGTTATTATCATTGTCATCTTGTTTCTCTTTCGTTTCCTTGCTTTGTGATGGTTTGTTTTCAGTTTCGTTTTGTGTGTCAGAGCGAGAGGTTCAGAGGCAAGGTTTGTTATAATCTGTAATGATTTTTGTCAGTGTTATAATTACTCTAACGTTAAATAGAATTGTCGGACAATATGTAGTATAAGGTAGTGGCAGAGTTGGGTCATAAAATCTACTTGAAATGATAGAACAATACAAACCAAGACAAAGTTCCTCTATGGCAATATGTGTGCAAATGCTTCCCAAGATGTTATACGTAAAAGAAAAGAGAAGATCCCCAATTTTGGCTAAGGCGCTCATCTTGTCTTGTGAATTCTAGACGCATATACTACCATGGGGGTTCAGGGGGCGTAGCTCCTGGCTAGGCATATATATTACCACGGGGGCCAGGATGCAGAGCTCCCTGGCTAGGGAATATAAACCATGGTGTTAGGTTAGGTTGGATGTTGGGTTACGACGTTTTGTTTAACCACCACGGGGGTCCTGTTTTACCCCATAATTTCCCTGAAATACTTCATGCCCTCCCCTGCTATCGGGACTATCAAATCAAGATTGTCAATGGAGATGGTGATCATATCTCCTCAACGAATC